ATATATATATATATTGTCCCTTTTGTGTTTAATGTAGCCATACAAATCCTTCGAGCCAAATATGATGTTTTTGAGGAAAGAAACTTTCATAATCTCTCTTTCCCTTAATTAAAGCTTTCTGACAGCCTTTTTATTTTTATAAACCTCAACTTACTCTATTTTATAAGTGAACTTCTTTGAATATTTCACTTACTAGAAGATTTATTCCGTTACTTCTTAATTTATGAAAAGATTTTCATTTGGAACATCAAAATTTGGTAAGAATACTTTCTTCCCTACTTAGCTTGACTGAAATATTAAAAAAAACAAAAAAACTTGAGCTTCTTTAGTATTCTTTCAGAATTCAGTCAGTCAGTCTTTTTCTCTCAAAATATCTGGTAGTTTCTGGACATTATATTTTTAAAATCTAGAACATGATATTAACTATTACTAACCTTACAATGGTTTCAATGTAAACATCAAAAAGGAAAATTTTATGATCACCAGAGTAGTACTCCTGTTTTCTACATGTAGCACAACTAATTTTCTAAGTTCTTCTCCCTCTGTACAAACAATAAGTTGAAGAATTTTTGAAAGTTATAGGGGATTGTTTTCTTAGCACATGAAATTGTTCAACCTCATGCAAAGAAAACAATCTACTTTATCAATTTCCTTGTGTTCAGTATAATAAAAAATCTGTCCCTGCTACAAACGTTTGAATAGCACCACATTGATTAATACAGTCTTAATCTCAAATATTGAAATTTTATGGTATTGAACATCAGTATAATGAGACTCTAATCTTTTAGTTTAAAACTGGGAGACTGTACTGTGAAATTACATCAACACAATGAAAATGTGTAGTGATGATATACAATATGTAAAACTGATGTAAAGCAAATACTACAAAAGAAAATCATATGTAGTAATTTAGGACTATAAAGTACACTCAAATAAGTTATATCAAATTCTGCAGGGCAAATACATTTACACACAATTCAAAGTTTATCAGTAACACTGTGATTGCTACAGTGATACAACCAGTCTTCTACTCTAGTGAAATTCTACATTGCAAAATTACTAAGCCAGACAGTCAAAAAAGTATTTATAGAAGAAGAACCTAATGGATAAGGAGAAAGTGGATGTGCTCTCAAAAATTATATAAAAACATTTTCTTTATGGAATCAAAATTATATCCAAACTTGGAAGCACTATAAGTTAGTTGCATCTAATATCATTAATGCATTGCTCCAGTGCACTACTTTGAGTTACTTTGTAAGACTAAGACACTCGCACAAGTTTCACAGCGTGAATGTGATTGTGAATCACAGTGTAACTAAAGTGTAAGTGTAACTTGTAAGCTTAAGCAAAATTAAGTAAAAGCTATACTCACAAGTCAGTTACATTTGAAAGTGATATACCATTACGATGATGTAAATATAAACATGAGTTTAACAATAACAGCTAATTCAATATTTTTTCCACCAATAAAAAAATATAAATTAGTCTATGTATTCAAATTCACAAATGCATTGATATAAGTTACAATTCTAGTTCTACTACGCTAAGCCTAAATTCAGTTTTGATATCACCGGTTAGTAGTCTAAATAAATATTTAATTTTTAAAAACCTTCACTGCGAGTTTGATTCATATCATACATATACCGAAAACACTAACTGTGTTAATGTGAATGAATTTCAATCGTAACAATAGTTTAGGCCTATTGATAATATAATTTATATAAGAAAACTGCTCACCTTTCACGTCGGCCATAATTTTCCTTTCCACTCCAGCTTCGTACGTTTATTTCAGTATTTGTGTACTTTGTTTTTTGGCACTATGCTGAAGGACCTTTTACACAGTTTTGAAAATATTCATAACAAAAAAAAACCAACTACATACAATAAACATCCACTTCCTTATCAATATCAGTCATACTACAACTTCTACTAATACTACTGGTAATAGTAGTAGTGTAGGCTAAAGCATATAACTGAGTCTAGACTAGTGCAGTGTATAAATATAAACTATGATAAAGCCATATGAACACACGAAGTGATGACAAAACTTATTTAACTTAAGATTAAATTAAAAACAGCTTGATACTTGGTGCAATAGCTAACAGATGAAAGGTTAGCCGGCAACATGACTATTTTCCATTTAACTAATAGCATAACACAAAGGCCACTCAGTGGATATATTTAACGATGACCAACATCTCTCGAGCATCATATTTACGCAGTCTATTCTCATAAGAAGTTTAAAGTTCAAAACAAGATATTTGCTACGTGAGGAGTGATATTGTATATTACAGATTGAATGAACACATTATTGCATTTTATTTTATCAATGTAATAAATAATATTAATTATTATACAGTGTAGTACGGTATGTCTAAGTGGAATTATTAACATGTTATACACGTATTTCTGACTCCATGGTGCGCTGGAATAATAACAAATAAATGACATGAAAAAACTACAATCTCTGGTATTTTTTGCGTCGAACGTGATGTTTATCCTTTAATAATGCAGAATATAATATATATACCATATTTCCTTCACATTTGTTTTCCTGAAAGATGGGGTCAAGTAGATGACAAAGTACGTGTAAAGTCGGTTTCAACCACTTTTATCCTGGTTGACCTTATTACCTTGGAAATAACCTTAAAAAAAGAGAAATCTGGTAGAATCTACCCATACATGGATCTACCATCGATGCAAAGTTAAATGAACATGAGTGTTTACATTTAACAACAACAACTACTACAAAAAAAAATGACAAGTTGAAAAACTTTGTTGGCTCTACCACAATAATATATTAACCTATTTCTATATTAGTGGATGATTTACATCTAAATTTTTGGAAACGATATGTCTATAATGTATTTGTTTTCACACACACACTGTTAGAAAGTTATTAAGGCATATTAAATTAAATCCTCATTTACAGTTTAGAGTAGTATTATTAGATACACACGACTGTTTCGGTTTAAGTATAGAGCGAGTGTTAAATTTAGTTATTTTAGAAGTGAAAGTTTATCGCAGGTTCGTTTGCGTTACTGTTTTGAATCATACGTTGTGTAGTTCACTTGTTGTGAATTGGCGATTGTTATATTATTGTGTCATGTTACTAGAACCGTCTGAATTTTTCAAGTTGCTTTAATTTGAGTATTCATCATAATAGCTCGTAGTATCTGGAACATTCTAGACCTCTGTCAGGCTATAAGTACGTGTCCAAAATGTAATTCGAGTTAGTTAGTTAGATAGATAGGTATAGACTGCGTGAGTGTAAGCTTAGCCATAAAGAATGTATAGTGGCGATTTTTAAAGCGAAATTATCACAGATTGTATTGTAATAACAGAGTAGAAAAGAATAATTTGTCTTGTCAATTGTGTTCTAAAGCACTTGAACTAGCCTGTGTGAACTTTGAGGAAAAATAGACAATTATTTACAGCTCTGGATACAACTGTAGTAACTAACAGTTATAGTGGTGCTTTTGAAGTGAAATTATCATAGACTGTATTGTAAAAATAGAACAGAAAGAATAAGTTGTCTTGTCAAATTGTGTTACAAAGCAATTGAACAAGCCTGTGCGGAATTTGACAAAAAAAGATATAATTATTTAAAGTTCTGGATACATCAGTGATAACCAACAGTGTAAGAAACATTTCTATATACATTTGACTTGTTTTAAAATAATATATTAAAACAAGTAGACTGTGTGCTGTTTATTGTTGAAATTCATCGCCAATAAGTCACAGACACTTACTGTAAAGAATCCAGCCCATTCATAGAAAACCTGACAAGAGTACTAAAACAAAACAAGCATCTTTTCATGATATTCTTACCTACGCTAGAACATATGTGACAAATACTTGTATACATATCTGGACCATAAACACAATAATTTAGTTAAATACTTGGATACAGTATCTCACTACTGCTGTATAACACACAAATTGTATAGTTAGAATCTTATTTGCTAAATCAGGTTGACATTGGATGGTGTTGACCAGCTGCCTTTCCTCTAGCCTATCACTGTTAAGTTAGAGACAATTATTGTAGGTAACTTTGCGCGAAAATTCAAACCAAAACTACTTGTTTATATGTCGACCTACTTTCAGATATTCACTAATGGTGGAGGTTCCACATGTTGCATCATGTTGAATAATTTTATTTTTTACTTGTGAAGAGCTGAACCAAAAAAATGGATAAAATCACTAATTTGCTAGGAAAAAATACACGGCAGTAGCTAATGTGATTAACTGCAGTACTAGTGATATTTTTTGCTTACATTTGTTATTGTGATTCATATATTATTTGTGATCCTATATCCAACACAATTACGAAACTACAAGCAAATGATGCATAAATAATCAAAACTTGCTTAAGAAGCACATGGGGTCCACAGGGATCAATCTTTATGTAAATTCTTGAAACTATCGAAGACACACGTGCCATTCAAATGCCATATAGTATTTTAGAGTTCGTGACTTTAAAATCTTCAAGAAGCTGCGGATCTAAATGGTAAAGAAAGGGGTGGTATGTTTGTTGGCTTATAGGGAATGTCTAGCCCCATACATAAGTTAAATCTTATAATGGAATCCCTGACTGATCATAAAAATATCTAGTGCAAAGTAAACACTTTTTTTTTTCAAGAATGAATAATCAATCGAAACTCTTGGATTTTTAACAGTTTAAAACAAGTCAGTGGCCGATATATCTTCACCCCCCAGTGGAATAGCGGTAAATTTACAGGCTTACAACATTCAAATCCAAGGTTCAATTCCTCGTGGTGGATCTACTGTATAAAAGTTGCTCTTATTGTATTATTAATTATTTTATGAACGTTAAGTCGATTATGAGAGTATGGATTTTTTAACCATTGTTTGGTACTGGAATTTACAAAAACAGGATTAAATATTATCTTTTTTTTTAGTTTTTTTGCACAGGCTAAATGCCATACATTTTTCATACGCCATTTTAGCTATTTTCATAGCATGAAGTTTTCTACTGCTATAGTTTTATATATCAAACTGAATTTTTGTGCTATTGCTGAATAAACGACAGAGAGGAATCTATATGTGATCATACGCCACACTTTCAGATAGGGGTGGGTTATGAGAGTGACAGTCAATCACACTATTCGGTCCAAACTCAGACGAAGCTACTACGGTGACGACGTTCCTGACTGTCTGACTTCTCTCTTGTTAGTAGTTAAGAGTTAGGGATAGCTATACTTGAACCTTAGGGTCTGTGAGCTTGTCGTTTAGCTCTTGTATACTACTGTTAATAAATAATAGCTGCGACCCGCAAAACATTTGCGGTAGTTTTCATGCCCTTCGCTTGTATTTTCCTTATTCTATCATTTTCATGCACGGCATTTAAGCTACGCTTTCTTGCATGCATTATGTGTTAGATCGATAAATTCTGGTCTATTTGAAAGCATTTTACGCGGTCAGACAAACAAAGTCACGTAGACGTAGTACTGTTACGTCTCTGGTCGTTAGTTAATTTTCCGTAAAAATTCTTTCCGAAG